TGCTGTCTTTTTGTTATGTGTTTTTTCATGGTGTCCCTGGTTTCTTTGTTCCATATTATTTTCTGTGCTGAGCTCATTATGTTTATGAATCGTGTTATCATTTCCTTTGTTGTTGTTGTTTTAGTATTTGCTGAATATTTTGTGCTTGTCCTCTTTTTTATTTTGATATGAAGGTTTATCATTTTTTCTTTGATGTTACCCTATGATTTATAATTTTCTCCATGAGTTTAGAACAGTCCATTCTGTCTTACAACTCTCTTAACTTCCTCACCATTTAGAAGTTCTATAACTACACAGTCTTTTCTCTCTCTCTCTCTCCTTTTTTTTTGGTAGTTGTCCTCTCTTGGCGATTGATGTCTCTGGTTCCCTGTTTACAATCTTGTAAGCTCATTTTCCTTTGGACATGTACATAGCTGTGGTTTCTGAGTTATATCATCTTGTGTATTAATGATCGGTTGTTATTTGCTATTTTTGGTTCTCTGTTCAAGGGACGCTCTTTAACATCTCTTGTGTGGTTGATGTGGTTTTAACAAATTCTCTTAGTTTCTGCTTATCTGGAAATCTAATTTCACCATCATATTTGAGGGACAGTTTTGCCGGGTATATAATTCTTGGTTGAAAATTTTTGTCTTTCAGGGTTTTATATATACCAACCCATTGCCTTCTTGCTTGCATAGTTTCTGCTGAGAAATCAGAGCTTATTCTTACTGGCTGTTGTTTGTAAGTAACTTTTTGTTTCTCCCATGCTGCTTTCAGGATTCTTTCTTTGCCTTTGATTTTGATGAGTTTGATGATGATATGTGTTGGTGATTTTCTTTTGGCGTCTAACCTGTTTGGGGTTCATTGGACTTCCTGAATGGAGATATTCTCATCTTTCGTCATATCAAGGAAGTTCTCCTCCAATAAATCCTGGACAATTTTCTCAGTGGTTTTATTTTTCTCTTCCTGTTCTGGAATTCCAATGACATGTAGGTTATTCCTTTTGATGGTATTCTACATGATCAAATTTTGTTTTGATCTTTTTTCTGATTGATCCCTTTCCAAAGAAGTTTTCAGTTATTTGTCTTCAGTCTCATTAATTCTGTCTTCTATTGCATCATTTCTACTCCTTTGCCCTTCCAATGTGTTATCTGTTTCTGACAGTTTACTATTGATCTTCTGTATTTCTATCTGTAGATTTAGAATCATTTCTAATTTTTCATTTATTTTGTCATTTTGTTCTTGTATTTTCTTCCAAAATTCTTCTAGGGTTTTGTCTGTGTTTTCTAACAGTTTAGTATTGATACAAGAATGGACATGCAGATCCAAGGAACAGAGTAGAAGTTAGAAATAGACCCATACCTGTTTGGTCTGTTGATTTTCGATAAAGATGTCATGGTGATTTAATTTGTCTTTTCAACAAATGGTACCGGAACAGTTGGGTGTCCATGTAAAAAAAAAAAAAAGATTCTTGACCCTTACCTCATACTATGTATATTAAAAATTTTTTACTCCAAATGAATGATATACCTGTAACCTAAGGAGAAAATGTTAGTGACCTTATGTTAAGCAGAGCCTTTTTGCAAAGAACACCAAAGCAGAAACCATTAAGAAAAATTGATAAATTGAACTTCATCAAATTTAATTATATCCATTCTTCAAGATACTGTTAAGGAAATGATCAGCAGCCTCAGATTAGTTATTGCCCAACCGATCTGATAAAGCACTTATATACAGATACGTAAAGAACTCTTTCAACTCATTAATAAGACAAATGATCTAAAGAATAAATGGGCAAAAGATTTAACTAGACATTTGACAAAAAAGATATTCAGATTGCTGTAAGTACTTGAAAAGATGTTCATCATCATGAGATGCTAGAGAAATGCAAATTGAAATAACATTGAAGTATCACTGCACACCTCTTAGAGTGATTAAAATTACAAAACCCACTAATACCATATATTGTTAAGGATGTCAAGCAATTGGAACTCCTATGCATTTTACCAGAAATGTAGAGTGATGTAATCACCTAAGACAATTATTTTCTGTGCTATAAATCATGCACTTCCCATAAACCTGTGGAATTTCTCACCTAAATATCTGTTGAAGGAAGATGGAAACGTACATGTTTACAGACATGTATTTAAATGTTCATGGCCTTATTCATAATAGGTCACATTTGTAACATAAAAACTGAAATAGCCATTTATAGGTGAATGAATAAAAAGCTGTAATACAATCATACAGTGGTTTACTACTTAGCAATAAAAAAAAAGTGCAAACTCCCATTTTGTGCATCCACATGGATAAACCTTAAAAGCATTATACTAAGTGACAGAAGAAAGATACAAAGAATACACACTTGATTCTGTTTATGTTCTGGAAAAAGCAAAACACTAGTGGTAAACAACTCAGTGGTTGTCAGGGCTGAGAATTGAGGGAGGCATGAGGAAGCTTTGAGGAGTGAAGGAATTGTGCTATATGTTGATTGTGGTGATGGTAACACAACTATATGCATTTATTCTACTGTAATACTGAACTTTGATGTTGATATGAAATGAGAATCTTACCCTTTTCCTTTTATGTTACATGTTTTATGCAGGGTTGTCATTTGTCTTTTTAAAAATGTGGCTATATATATAACAAAATATTTGCCATTTCAACCATCTTTATAGGTATAATTCAGTGATAGTAATTACGTTTACCATATTATGCAGCCAACATCACTGTTTCCAAATTATTGAAATCACCCTTAATTAGAAGCTCATTGCCACATAAGCAATAACTTCCCCATTCTCCCTTCCAGCTGCCCCTGGTAACCACTAATAAACTTTGTTCCCTGTGCATATTTCATATACATGAAATACATGTCCTTTTGCTTCTGACTTATTCCAGTAAGCATAATGTTTTCAGGTCTCATCCATGTCAGAGCATGGATGACTGCTCTTTGTGGCTCATATTCCATTTATGTATTACCACATTTTGTTTATCTGTTTGTCTATTAGTGGACATTTTCATGGTTTCCACTTTTTTTGGCAGTTGATAATAGTGCTGTGGTGTACATTTGTGTGTAAGCATCTGTTTGCATCTCTGCTTTCAAGTATTTTGTGAATATATCTACACTTGGAATTGCTAGGTTATATGGTACTTCTGTGTTTAACTTTTTGAGGAAACACCGAACTCTTTTCTACAACTGCTCTAGTTAAATCAGAAGACCTTCATAGTCATTTTTCTTGTGTTTAACATTAATGCTACTAACCTGATCCTGTGAGTTTTAAATTTTTTCCATTTTTTCCAATTTTCCACCTTTTCCTCCCTGTATCTTTTCTCAGCTTCAATTTTGTAAATGGTAATGGGTCCATAGAAGAAAAAAATTTAGAGTTCTTGCTTTGATGGAGGTAGAGAAGTTGAACTGAGTTTGTGGTTGTTTGCTTGTTTGTTATTTTTAATATAATGGTGGGTTCCTATAACTCTCATCCCAATCCTAGACATGGATTTTTCTAGGAATATCTGACCTTTTGCCTATCTACCTCAGTTATTGTTTCCATTCCCTTGCTTCTTGTAGGTAAACATAGTTAATGACTATGATTTTTCTTTGTGTTCCAGCCTGAAAGAATAGATCCAAGTGCATCACGACAAGGATATGATGTCCGTTCTGATGTCTGGAGTTTGGGGATCACATTGGTATGTTTATATTGGTTCAATCTTGCCATAGCAATGTGGCAATAAGAAATTTGGAAATAAAATTTAATTAGACTTCCATGCCCCGTAAGAACCCCTGCTTTTTCTCTTTTCTACTCTTTGATTTTTTACCTATTTTCCCCCATGGTGATAATGTCATGGATTATACTACCTAATTGTTGGTAAAAACAAGTATATTTTTAACCTTAAAAACCAAATCAGATTTGAATATTTCCCTCAAGGTTTTGTGAAGTGCCAAGGGCTCTTTAGCATTGCAGCAGTTGGGTCTCTTGGCCATAGTTAAAAGGAGTCAGCAGCTACACTAAGAATGGGAACAAGGGAGGAGCAGCCCACCTTCTGACAGTGCAGCAGGGAAGGCGAATTGGCTTCTCTCATCTCATGCAAGATAGAGTAAGTTCAGCAATACTGCACAGAGTGTATATATTATGTATACATGTTTACATGCATGGAAAATAATTTCTACTGGAATCTTCTATTCATGGAAAAGATGCAAATGATTGAGCTAAATAAAAGTAATTCAGTTGTTAAGGGATTAGAGAATACATAGATGATAATTTAAAATGAACATTCTACTTTAGAACAACAAAGGAGACAGAATAGTAAGATAGCTACTTTTTTGCAGCTAGCAAGCACAATTAAACTCTTCTTAGTTACTGATGAACAATATTGAAATTTTGGTTACATTTAAAAATTATCTTTATTTGCTTATTTCTTTAGTACCAAGTTTTATTTTGAAGGTTTAGTTTTATGCTTGCTGTTCTATGAGGGCTTGATAATGTTTACCTGATTTTGGGCAGTGCCTACAGCTGCTTCTACATTGGTATGTGAATTTTCCATCCCTAAACTGGGCTGTCATGTTTGGTAAGCAGTCCAAACCTCTTCCTTCCATTTTTCTCCTACCTTCCTCTGTGTTGTCTAAGACCCCATAGCTCAGAGACACACAGATCCAAAGAAAGGAATTTTTTGTTACTTATTAAATAACATCCATTTCTTGATTGTTATATGGTTTAAGATCCTCTTCTTGGAGATCAGAATCACATACCCTTGTTTATATTTTATCGTGTGTAACTGTCCTTGGTGAGTCATGTTACTGGGCCTAGTGAATTCTTTTCTGTATAGAGAGTTGAAAGCTAATAGCGTACCTCTGCATGGGATGCCACCTAGTTTCACTTGTGACCAAATATGAGAGATAGTGCCTGGAGTCTTTTCTCATTGTGAAGCCAAGTGACCGTAAAGAAAAAGGGATTCCTAACATTAATTTTATTTGTCCTTAGCCATGATTTGCTGGTCCCTCCTGCTAAGATTGTGGCTGACCCATCGATAGCAGATGGAAAATTGGAATGTACAACTCTAGGAGTCTGTTATTCAGTAATCATTTAGAGCCAGATGCCTTTGGTCATCTCTAGCAGCTTTTTTCATATACTGTCTATAACTAACATATATACTTTTTGCTTCCTGCTTTCCATACCAATCTGATAAGTAAAGAAATGTTGTTAGGTACCATCAAGTCTGCTGTGACTCATAGTGAACTTATGTACAACAGAATGAAAAATTGCTCAGTCCTGTGCCATCCTCACAATCCTTGTTATACTTGATCCCCTCGTTGCAGCCACGGTGTCAGTTGGTTTTCAGAAATGGATGGCCCCATCTGTCTTCTGAATTTTAGTCTGATAACTCTGCTGAAACCTGTGCACTATGGGTGGTATTTGAAATACCAGTGGCAAAGCCTCCAGCCTCATAGCAACGTGCAAGCCACCACAGTGTGACAAACTGACAGACGAGTGGTGGCGTGTAGAAATAAGTATAACTTTAATTGTTGTTGTTGTTGTTGTTGTTATGTGCCCTCGAGTTGGACCTGACTCACAGCGACCCCTCCTTGGGTTTCTGAGGCAGTATCACTACGGAAGTAGATTGCCCCATCTTCCTTCCGAGGAGTGGCTGGTATGTTTGAACCGCCAGCCTTCTGGTTAGCAGTCAAGTGTCTTAGGCACTATGCTACCAGAGCTCCTATAGCTTTAATAAAAAACACTAAATTATCATCTTTTCCCAGATGACTACACCTATTATTAATAATTAATACTGAAGTCAGAACTTCTAAATTTCTACTATAGCCAAGAGGCATAGAAATATGTACCTTTGTAAAAAAAGGTTAGACACTGAGGTGCAATTAAAATGATACATATATACTTCAGTGACACAGTTTTCAGGAACATTTAAAAGAAACATTTTATGGTTAAAATCATAATGTTCAAAATAAGTCTTAATATGCAAATATATTCTGAAATTAAAAGATGAAGTAGCAGCATTTGCATATTGGCACTATTCTTTTTGTTTTTCTTTACTTGTTTTTAACATCCATGATGGTTTTTGTGTGTATGTATGTGTGTGATTTCATCTAAATGAGTTTTTTATTCTAATTTTCTTTGGTGCTTAAATTCAGTTTCTTTTTACTCCCAACTTTACTTTATACATCTTTATTCTTTCCTCAAATGTTTTCAAACTGACATTATTCATAATACTAGTAATATATTATTAGATGTATGTAGAAGAATTTTATGATTAAGAAGTTTAGAAAATGCTGAGTTAATGTGAAACTGATTTCATTACTGTAGACTTCTGAGAGACTTTCATATGCTTGCTTGTATTATGAATTTCCAAGAGGGTGATGATATAGCCATGTTTTCCACTTGACCATAAGACTCTTTTCTGTATATACTTGTTAAGGATTACCATGAATACTTTCTGCAGGTTTCTTCTGATTCACAAATGACCTGTGCCACAAATGCTTGACTGTAAGTTATTTGTTTGAAACTTACAACTCAATTGCTTACAAACAAAAATAATTTAGAAACCACAGGTTCTCAGGAAAGGCCATAAAACATCATGTTGCTATGAATCATAGCATCACTAATAGTATAGAAATGACTCATCAATTTTTATGATATTTCTTCTATCTGAAATTCCATTCTAAATCCACCTCATTTCAGTGGGGACACATCTCCCCTTATTAAAGTCCTATGCACTACAAGCAGAGATTGTTGAGATTCCAGTGACAGAAGATAAGACAGAAGTAAGGTAGTAAGAGGAGAGAATGAGATTCTTGGACATATTTTAGTTCTGACGACTGGTCCCAAAGACTGCAGCAAGACCTATAGCTCTAGCTGAGGCAGTTCTTTGCCTCCAAGGGATATTTATGATTCAAAGACTGACTTATCAATTATCAAACCAGTTATATTTAAGGAGCAAAAACAAATTTTGTTCTGTGAAAGATTTTTTAATTTTTAATTTATTTTTTTATTATGAATTGGGTGAAAATTTACAGAGCAAATTGGTTTTCCATTCAACAATCCATATACATTCTGTTTTTGATGTTTACTGCAGTTCTCACATTGTAACAGCATTTTTCCCACTTCTTCCTTGTGACCACCCCTTCCTTACCTCCTTCCTTCCCATCCCTGCCTTCCTTCCTAGCTCTGTCCTTAGACAAATGCTGTCTCCTTGATCTCATATGCTTGATTGTTCTAAAGAGTGAATACCCTCCGGATATTACTGTTCACCTTATAGGCCTTTCTGTTGGCTGACAGTTGAGTCATGGGGCTTAAGTTTAGTTGCTAGCTTGAAAGGTACCTGGTCTTGGGGGTTCCACCAGTCATCATCAGACCAAATAAGCCTGTTTTTTTTTAAATGAATAATTTTGAGTTTAGTTCCACATTTTCCCCCACTCTATCTGGGACTTCTTATTGTGATCCCTTTCAGAGAGGTCTGTAGTGATAGCCAAGTACTATCTAGTTCTTCTGGTCTTAGGGTTTCGGAGGCTGAGGTTTATGTGCTCCATTAGCCCTGTGGACTAATTGTTTCCTTGCATCTTTGATTCTCTATTCTATGAAAGGTTTAGTATAGAAATTTTTTAGCAAGTTATTTCAATACACCTAGCTAAACCTTGTTATTTAAAAACAAGGTTTTTGGTACTTCCAATCACTTTATAATTTATTTTTCATAAGCATAATTTTTTTAGGAACTAAAAATGTGTGAAATTCTTTTCTGAGCTCCTAAGTCCTTCCCCATAATTATTTGCAGCACCCCCCCCCCCAATTTCTTATTATTTACCTGCTCTTAGTAAATTTATTTCTAATGCTGTGGATAACCAGTAAATTATCCCTAATGCTGTGAATTTACTTCTTCCAGTGTATTTGTGTTTTCATCATAAAGAAACTTCATTCAAAGGAATGAAGTTCTGCCTGCCTGCCTGCCTGCACATGTAAATGTATATATTTCTAGAAAGCAGTGAACTCAGGAAGGCATCCTTTGGGGTAGAAGGCCTTCTCAGGCCAGCCTATTTTAGGATGGCCTTACCTTTGCTTTCTGTCTTTCATTCTACTGTATAAAGTAGTAATTTAATATATGTACATAATCAAATCTAATCTGAAGATTGTGCTCTCTCTACTATATGCTACCTTCCTTCTCTAAAAATTTGTAATATCATCCTCATATATCAATCACCTGTCCATGTACATATAATGGCATTCATTAGGCCAGCATGTAGATTTAGATAGATTTCTTTGGGAAAGCATAATTTCTAGTTTTTCATTATTTCCAGAAGCAGTGAGAGAAAAACTTTTGACCTTTATCATATTTGGGCATATGTACATAAGGATTTTCACATCTGGTTTGCTGTGGTTTAGAGATACTGTCGTGAGCATCATTGTTGGAGATCCAAATAAAGTGTTTGACCTTGACTTGATTTCATCAGTAATAGTAACATCTGTTTGTGCTTGAAATTGCAGTAACTATGGAATAGCCGGGGAGCTCTGGTAGCATAGTGCCTAAGGCACTTGACTGCTAACCAGAAGGCTGGCTGTTCAAACCCACCAACCACTCCTTGGAAGAAAGGTTGGGCAGTCTACTTCCGTAGTGATACTGCTTTTGAAACCCAAAGGAGGGGTCGCTGTGAGTCAGGTCTGACTTGACGGCACATAACAACAACAACAACAACAACAACAACAACATGGAATAGCTTTAGAACATGATTTGTACATTGTTTCCTCTGATCTCAGATTGGGCTTTTATTTGTTGAAATGTAAAGTTATTTCTTACAAAGGTATTTGACTGCTGTTCTGGACCATAGCCTTCTATTCAGATGACTACAAATAAAGCAAGTTCTATACTAAAAGAGTTCTAAAACCAACTTCCAGAGTCTCTAACAAAATGCAATCAAAGCTGGAGGCTTCCCTGGAGCATACATTGTGGGGAACTTGGCTTAAGTTTGCCCTTTCCTTTTAGACCAAGACTTTGAATTTGGTTGATACAGAGTTTTCTTTATTATGTCAATTTCTAAATATGACCTTCCCTTAGGCTTAATAATTCTGGAAATTTTGTTCTAAACTGATCTTGGTTTGATCTAACACTTTTACAAGAGTGAGTTTCAGTTTTCAACTTGGCCATCACAGTAGGGAGTAGTAAATAATGTCTAGTGTATTTTTCTTTTTCCTTTGTGTTCTCTTTAGTATGAGTTGGCCACAGGTCGATTTCCTTATCCAAAGTGGAATAGTGTATTTGATCAACTAACACAAGTCGTGAAAGGAGATCCTCCACAGCTGAGTAATTCTGAGGAAAGGGAATTCTCCCCAAGTTTCATCAACTTTGTCAACTTGTGGTGAGTACTTAATTTACGAATACTCAAATCACATGTGGTGAAAACAGTGCGGTCTAGTAATCTTAGCACAGTTGGTAGTTTACACCTGGAGGGGATCCTTTGTCTTATTACTGTGCTTTTAAGCTAGGATGCTGGATCACTGTGGCTGTAAGGTGACCTTCAGCTAGCCTGGAGAAGCATCACCCTCTTGTTTTACTACTCAGGTATTGGTGAAAAGCAGAAGTGGGTGGTACAGAAACAGCTGCTTCTAGACTTCCAGTACCTTGTACAAGAAATACCAGATTAAATTTCTAGGTGAGACTGTTCATTTTACTCTGATGTGGTTCTCACAGTGAGATTGTACCCACCTGGAAACTTTTACTAAGCCAAGGCTCTATGAAATCAGATTCTCAGAGGTGATCAGATCACTGCTATAACAACATAATATAGTTGGTGCATATAGTAGTGTTTCGTTATGTTGTGCATAGGGTTGCTATAAATTGGAGCCAACTCGACGGTACCTAACAACAACAGCAACATATAGTAGTCTCAGGCCTCCACCTCAATTAATAGAACTATATGTTGGCTCTCTGAAACCTTTTTCCAAAGAAGATGAGAATCCTATACCTGTTGATGCTGTTTCTCCAACATTTTAACAATATATATGTGTGTCACACATAAGAATGAACATATGCAGATATGGCAGTAATATAGTCATGCTAACCAGAAGGCTGGCAGTTCAAACTCACCAGCCACTCCTCGGAAGGAAGACTGGGCAATCTACTTCTGTAGAGATACTGCCTTGGAAACCCAAGGAGGGGTCGCTATGAGTTGGAGCCAACTCAAAGGCAGTGAGTGTTTTTGGTTTTTATGCTATTTTAGTCTACATTTTAAATAGTCTGCATTTTAACCTTTTAATATAATTATTTGAATATATTTTTTAAATTGCTCTGTTTATCTAAGACGTTTAAGAATAAGATGTTTATGAGTACTTGGTAAACCTTCTTATTGATTCCTCAAAATGTTTTCTTTTCCTTAATATTTTTCCTGCTAGAAATGCTCTTTCTACTCATTCTAAGTGTGATATTTCACAGCCCTCTTTTTGAATAACATCAGATGTTTGTTTGACTCTGGTTTTCTGGCTCCTTTCATCTTCTGTAGCTAAATTCAACAAAGAAAACATATTGGGATTTTTTCTAGGTAGAAGGCCACATGTCTTCCTCATTTTTTAAAATATCTGTTTTTACCATATTTACACACAAATATGTAGTTTGCATAATTGCATAAATATGATTTCTTATATTCTTTGTTCATAGAATATTTGAATAAAATAGCATATAAAATTATTTCTTGTGAGCTGTCTACCAATTTTGCCTTCATCTTAATTCCTTCATCGCTTTATTGATTTTGTTTTATATATAAGTAAACCCATGAAAACATTGCCATCAAGTTGATTCTGACACAAAGTGACCCTATAGGACAGAGTAGAACTATCCTTTAGGGTTTCCAAAGCTGTAAATCTTTATGAATTTACAACCAACTGGACTGGCCAACCAGTCAGACTGGAAGGGATCCAAATTTGTACCCATTCCAAAGAAAGGTGATCCAACAGAATGTGAAAATTACTGAGCCATATCATTAATATCACATGCAAGTAATATTTTGCTGAACATAATTTAAAAAAGCTTGCAGCATTACGTCAACAGGGAGCTGCCAGAAATGCAAGGTGGATTCAGAAGAGTATGTGAAACAAGGGGTATCATTGCTGATGTTAAATTTATCTTGGATGAAAGCATATAGTACCAGAACGATGGTCACCTGTGTTTTATTGACTTTGCAAAGGCATTCGACTGTGTGAATCATAATAAAGTATGGATAACATTGCAAACAGTGGGAATACCAAAACACTTGATTGTGCTCATAAGGAACCTGTACATAGACCAGGAAAGAGGCTATTGTTCGAACAGAACAAGGGGATACTGCGTGCTTTAAAATCAGGAAAGGCATGCATCACATTATGTCTTTTTACCATACTTATACAGTATGTATGCTGAGCAAATAAATAATCCAAAAAGCTGGAGTATGAAGAGGAACATGAAGTCAAGATTGGGGGAAAGACTCATTAACCTGTGATAGGCAGATGACACAACCTTGCTTGCTGAAAATGAAGATGACTTGAAGCACTTTCTGATGAAGGTTAAAGACTACAGCTTTCAGTATGAACTATACCTTACTGTAAAGAAAGCAGAAATCTTCACAACAGGACCACTAAGCGACATCACAGTAAATGGAGAAAAGATTGCAGTTGTCAGAGGTTTCATTTTACTTTAGATGCACAATCAACACCCATCAAAGCAGCAGTCACAAAATCAGATATCTTATTGCACTGGGCAGATCTGCAAGGGACCTCTTAAAAGTGTTAAAGAGCAAAGATGTCACTTTGAAGACTAAGGGACGCCTAACCCAAGCCGTATATTTTCAGTTGCCTCATGTACATGTTAAAGCTGGAGAATGAATAAGGAAGATTAAAGAAGAGTTGATGCCTTTGAATTATGGTGTTGGTAAAAAATACTGAAAATACCATGGACTGCCAGAAGAACAAACAAATCTGTCTTGGAAGAAATGTAGCTCTGTGGAAGTGAGAATGGCCAGACTTTGTCTCTCATACTTTGGTCATATTGTCAGAAAGGACCAGTCCCTGGAGAAGGTTATCATGCTTGGTAAGGTAGAGGACCAGTGAAAAAGGGGAAGACCCTCAACAAGATTCATGGACATAGTGTCTGCAATGATGAGCTCAAGCACTGCAAGGATTTTGAGGATAGTGCAGGACCAGGCAGTTATTTCTTGTTGTACATACAGGGTTGCTATGAGTCTGAGCAGACACAATGGCTCCTTAACAACAAATCTTTACCGAGGCAGACTGCCTTATCTTTGTCCTGTGGAGTGGCTGGTGGGTTCAAAACACTGAGCTTTTGGTATATTTTAATCTCTGTATCACCAGAACTCCTTCTTATGTATATGTAGTACTTGTATATTTTTAATGCTTTTCTCCCTTGATACCAGGTCTACCCATAAATAAAGATTATGGACATCAATGTTTAATTAAAACGTGCACACAGTTGTATATACCAGCAGTATATATGTGCACACCAAATGTATGTACCAATACACAATTGATTTTGGTAGAAAGACACAAAATCAGAGCAGAACCTGCAGAGTGCAAAAGCTGCTATAGAATGATGAATGTGACTACTTCACATTATTATGGTGGCTTAGATATTTGTAAAGGTAGCAGACAGTACTTGCACTGAAACTTCTAATATACTGGATTAGGATTTTAAAAATCTTTCAAAGTGTATCACAAATTGGTATAAAACTAAAGAACTCAGAGCTCTGGAAGTATGTAAAATCAGAAATTAGAAACAAGGAAGAGTTGAAGCTGTTTCTTTTCTTGAGAGTTTCTATTAAGCCGTGGGAATTTTCAGCTTCTGTTGTGATGACTGCCAGGAAAGTAGGGGACAACAGATAAAGACCAGAGCCTACCTAAGGATGTCAATATAATAAATATGTGATAATCACACATAAAGTTGAAATCCTAAAGGGCTATACCCACATTGTAAAGACTAATAAGAAATAAGGCATACTATGCAAAAAAGGAGCTCTGGTAGCATAGTGGCTAAGGCACTTGACTGCTAACCAGAAGGCTGGCGGTTCAAACCCACCAGCCACTCCTCGGAAGGAAGGTTGGGCATGCCTACCTCCGTAGTGATACTGCCTCGGAAACCCAAGGAGGGGTCGCTATGAGTCGGGGCCGACTCGATGGCAAACAACAACAACAACAACATGCAAAAAGGGGGAAAAAAAAAGGAGCTCTGGTAGCATAGTGCCTAAGGCATTTGACTGCTAACCAGAAGGGTGGCAATTCAAACCCACCAGCCACTCCTTGGAAGGAAGACTGGGCAATCTACTTCTGTAAAGATTCACTGTCTCAGAAACCCAAAGGGGGTCGCTATGAGTCAGAATTGACTCGATGGCAGTGAGTTTGGTTTTGCTTTGGTGCAAAAAATGGATAACAAAGAAGCATGCCTATCTTGACCCTGGCACTGAATGCAGCACAAATTCAAAACTAAGCTCACTAACATGGATTTGCTATTTAACTTCATAGTAAGTGTGTGGTCCAAAATATATAAAGCAGAAAATTTAATTTGAAGAGGCTCCAGGTTGGCAAGAGTCTCAGTTAACTGGCGAAATAAAAGCACATCCTTTCTGGAGAATTAAACTTCGACCTAGGACTCAAAGAATTTCCAAAGATAAAGTTAACAGGATTAGGAATAATTTACACAGAAAGTTCAACCTTAACACAGTGAGTGAGAATTAACAGAAATAACTAGTAGCAGGAATGGATCTGTGGAGACTTCAGAAATTAGAATGATCAGAAATGGAGACAAAAATGATTTGTCATTAAGTTTAAAGGCAAATAAAGCTTGGAAATAGAAGTAGGAAGCAGAGATTTGGTAAAAAAAAAAA